ATGTTCTCAGGTCTATTTTAATCTTAAGTGCTGATTTTGCATCATTCTGTCCTGGTAAGGGACACTTCTGTAAGTGATCTGCACAGAAATGATTTTTACATAAATACTATACTAAGAGAAATTATCTTATTACCTAATATGCCAAAAGCCTAATAAGATAAAGGAATGGTATGAGTCATTTCTGGACAATAATAAAACTTGATTTTTACCTCATGGAAATAAAACGATTTTCTTTTATTATTCTCTTCAGGTGGAACAAAATCAGTGAAGTGTTTAAGGATATTATACAGCTATGTTTCATGAACTCTTGTTAATGCTGTGGATGGGATCTAGTCAGGATGGTCTCAAATTGAGATTTTAATGTTTTCCATTTAGAAAGCACTCTTACTGTTAATGCTATCTTGTCAGATATAATTTTTGAATCCAGAGATGAAAGTAAAAAAAAAAGGATTTTTTTTTTTATTCAATTGTATAAATACTTGCCACTGTGTGTTTTTACCTGTATGTCTATTAAAGAACAAACACATTGTTCCTATAGGAAGAATCAAGCAATTTCAAGGACTGGAAGTTTCCTGAATTATCTGTGGTAAAAAGCAGTATCTGTCATATTTTGACAAGTTTCAGGAATCCATGGGGTATGGATACCTAATAAGACTTTGGGAGTTTCAACTGTGCTTTTAAATGTTCTTTGGAGGAAAATATCTTATTCGCAAACGAGTAAGTGATGATCTTGATGAAAGAAATTTAAACAGAACTCAAGGTGATACAAATTTCTGGTTGTAATCATTTGGTCAGTGCTTGATCTTAGGTAATAAAAATAAACAAAGTTTTGATGCTGATAGTGATATGGGAAGGCTGTAGATACAAGCACATTTTTGTGCTCTTCCTTCCTATCACTTTGACAGAAATAACACTAAGTAAATGCTGTCAGCCTTCTGTAACATGCAATTTTTCATGCAAAATATAACATACCTAAGACCTTAAACAATTTGATAATCTCTTCATTATTGTGATTTTTTTAGATCTTTCCCACAACCTCCCACAGAAACTATATATGTTTGCAGGGAGATTTAAGGCAAAAGGCTTACACTTGCAACAAGATGAATTTTTTATTTTATGTTAGGCAGTTGTTAGGCATTGTGCTGATGTTGGGAAATGTTGCCAAGACAGTGTATGTATAATAATGTCTTTCTATAAATATCTTCAAGACCTATTTAAAGATCTATTGGTATTTGTGGAACTTTCAGGACAGATCTATTGGAGGCTAGAGAATTAGCTATGAAATACAATGATTCCACCACCTTCTAATATTCCAAAATAATGTGTCTATCGGTTTATAGCACTCTAAAATGATCTTTTTAAGCAGGAGTGGTGATGAGTGACAACTATCATAGATTTGGCAGCAACACTTTTAGACTCTACAAGCATGTTTGTGAAACTATTATCTTGGGGTAATTATTTGTTTGAATGTCCATTAGAAAAGAAAAGGCCTTGTCTTTAAGATAGAACTAAAAGAGGAAATTATGAGTTCAACTGTGTGAGGTTCAGGCTGACACAGAGGTTTCATATTTAGCTTGGTTAATTAAGTTCCATACTTTGGCTGAATTTAATTATTCCAACCAATGCAGTAATTTAATATAATAAAAAAGGGGTTAATGAGAAATGGAAGAGAACCTGACTGTTCATTCATTTGGCTCAGTGGGAGCATTTCTTTTTGAAGTATCACTTTATGGATGGTGATGTATTATAGGTTTTATGAATTTTCAATTAGCAAGAAAATGAAAATGAAAGACAGACAGTAGATCATCAATGAGTGATCATGTTAGGAAATCACTAAAACACTCATTCTGTAAAGTTCAGGGCACGTTTTAATGTGCTTCATAATAAGGTAGGCAATTTTCTTCTTTCTAGGTTGAGCTTAAATCATGTTCTTTCTACACTGTGTGAGTATGCCTATGTTTAGGGTTTCTGTTCAAAAGTAAGAAAGCAAAATATTTGCTAGTTCTAAACAAAAATGAACATGACAATAAAAAGTTGACCTTACTTTTGTAGCTGTCACTTTCAATACAAATGGTGTGCTACCTTCATATGGCACAGGTTCTCCAAGCTCAACGCGGAGGAGGAGCTGTTCAGTAGAATCAGAGTCAGTTTCAAATCCCAGCCGGAGAGTGGCTGGTATTTCAAGTTACTACATCTCACTGAGCCTTGGTCTTGTCATCTGTGAAATGAGGAAAATGCTGTCTACACCTCTCACATTGCTGAGAGGATAAAATGAGAGAATGTAGAGGAAAACACTCAGCCTGACTGATACGTAATAGATGTTCTGCAAATGGTGACTACTAGTCCTCTGGCCGAGTCAGAAATATGCTTATAAACGAGTAACACACACTAACATGTTGTGATGGTGCCCAGAATGGCAAGTGTCTTGGTTTATCAGCCAGAGCAGTGCTCCTCAAACTTTCAATCACCAGTGATTCACCTGGGGGTATCCGGTTAAATATAGATTTGTGTTCAGCCCAAGAGTCTGCATTGCTTCCAGACGATGCCGATCCTGCCAATCGGGGACCCCAGTTTTAGTAGCATGGAACTAGGGCAATAACTTCTCAATCCTGAGTTGATTCTGAGAGACTGGTCTAAGTTCCAAAACAGAATTTTACTCTACTTTTTTTTTTCTTTTCCCTGGTTTAATGATAAAAAATATTGGGAAGATCTGCAGGTGCTACAGAAAAAAAAGTTTGAAGGAACACATTTAAAAATTTGGGAAGCTTAAAATCATTCTACACACTTTCATTTATTGTCTGGACAGATAAAGTACAAATAATTCAAACACAACAAGATTATGAAAAAAAAAACATTTACAATACTTTCCCTCAGAAATCATCTAAACTAGCAAGATTAACATGAAGTCATTCATTTACAACTAAAGAATACACTGCCTGGTCCTAAGGTTTTTTTTTTTTTTTTTCCTTTTTTTCCCCCAGATTGAACACATTATAGAGAAGAGATTTTGGCATGCCTTTCCCACTAATGCTTAGCAAATGCAACAAAACTTTGCCTGCAAACTGCGTTCATTCATAGCAGGTGACGTAAAAAGGTTTCCCTGAATGTTGAACAAGTGTTCTCTGAACTGAAATCTGGTGTTTTTTTGTTTTTTTCCAAAACTGAAAAAGAGGAAAAAAAAAATTTCAAGGAGGAGTCTATGATGCAGCCTTGGTTTTCATGGTCTGTCTACCACTACGACAACTACTACAAAGTTTGCCTCTTCAGTGTGAAAACAACAGTCCTGTCTACATGCATTTAGTGGGTTCAGCATGGGAAAAAATGCACAAAATAAGCACAAGTTATAAATAACCATAACGTTTTATTACCATTAAGACTAAACTTGTATTGAAAAGATTTTATATAACAAGACAAGAAAAGCAATAGCAAATTTAACTATCAACTAGATTATGCATAGCGAGTAACTGTTTCTATTACCCAGGGAAGAGCATGAACTCTTGTATTTTTTTTTGTTTTGTTTTTGTTTTAAATATATAACCATACAAAGCACAAACATACTAAAATGATCAGTGCACTGGACATGGGAGAGTGCTCCCGCAGTCATTTTGTTTCCCTTAGCTCTGTTTTGTTTTTCCCAATCTGAATTACATTAAAATAAAGACCAGTTGCTTTTATTTTTCTACTGCGCAGTAAGAAAAAATATTCACAACAAACATGACAATATATCAAACAATAGTTCTACACAAGTTACCTTGATACCTCTTTAACTGTCACTTAAATATCATAATAAAACATTTTAAGACATATACAAACAAAACTAGCCAAGTGCTACAACTTATAATAAATTAACCCAAAGAAAAAAATAACTTTATATATATATATATATATTTATATTATATATACACATACACACACAACAGAATGACACAATAATATGCTTCTTCCCATAGTTTAAGTAAACAAATAAGTAGTCTAGCCAATCTAGCTATATTTGATCTCGGCCATAGGCATCATCACATCTGCGATTAAATAAATAAGTGTTTCAAGCAACATAAACAGTGTTTCAAATGTACCAACACAGCCCAGTTCTATCAGCATGGGCTACAAAGTGAATTTGAAAATTGCTTAATGAATTTAAAGCAAATGTATCTTTTGTTTTCCTCTCCTAAACACATTACATTTAACTATGATACTAAGATATGTAAATAATTTTGTAGCACCTACTGCTCAAACTAAGGAAGTTTTAGAGTACAAAGAAAATTAATCTTTTTAATTTTTGTTCTGCTGACATCCCATACTGATGACTTAAAGAAAAATTGTCTTTCAACTCATCTCCTTGCTTTTGGGTTTTGACTGTGGGGAACTGTGGTACCCTGGGTAGAACAAACACTCCTTTCCCCTAGTAATTAATATTTTTTATTATTATTACATGCTATGAAAAGATATGAAGATCATCTGTTTATAGCCCATCCTTCAAAAAACAGTCTACGAATCCAGTTTAAAACACACATCTTGATCTCTAAAAAGTTACCAGTGCAGTATGAACGCGACAAAGTTGTCAATTTCCCCTAAATTAGCCAGTCAAAATATTTTTTTTTCTCAAATCCAGATTCTCTTGTAAAAATTCTTTATATTTTATAAAAATAGATTTTTCTTGAAACCCATTTTCAGCAAAGAGACCACCTCTTTGGCAACAATGTTAATGTTATTAAATTGTTAATGTCATCAGGTATCCCCCTTGCCCCCATCCCCTAACAGAAGACTGTTTTAGTTCACATGATATAAAAGAAAAAAGGAAAAATAAAAAAATTTGCAAAAGTTTTTTATTCATTTTTGCAATTTTTATTGTTCCTCTTAAATTTGTGTGGGGGTTTTAACCAATCTGATTGGATCGACATTTTGACAAAAAAAGAAAAATCTTTTTTTCTTTCTCTGAATCCCATTACTTTGTAAAAATTGCTTTTATTATTATTATTATTTTTTTTTGTTTTTTGTTTTTCTTCTTCAAATGAGCGAATGGTCATCTTAAAAAGACCCACCTTCAAGGAAGGTAGTAAAGTTAGCTGGCTGGGTAAAAATCCCTGCACATTGCTATCTATGTATATTATATTCAACAACGACAGCTATGAAAGAACATTCAATGCATCAAAGGTATTTTTTTGTTTTTTTTTTTTTTGTTTTTTTCTAAGCATTATAAAATCCTTTCCTGGTACACCTCAGGATAATCCAATATTTTAATACTTAGGCAACACTGGCTTATAAAGTCCATGGTTGAATATAAGCCTTGAAAAGTTTGTTTCTCTTTCTTTGTGTATGTGTGTGTGCGCGTGTGTTTTGTTCGTAAATATTTATATATATATTTTAATAAGTAAGGATGGGAAATTCAGGACTTGTGGGCTTTGTTGGTTTTAAAGGAAACTTGCAACACTCTGTCTCCCAGGCGATACCCGTTGAGGCTAGCAATGGCCATGGCTGCCTCGTCATAGTTGGTCATGGTGACAAAGCCAAATCCCTTGCACTTGTTGGTATTGAAGTCACGGATAACCTTGACGTTGTTCACTGCGCCAAAGGGGCCAAAGAGCTGCCAGAGGACGCTCTCGTCAGAATCAGGGGACAGGTTGTAGACGAAGATACACCAGCCTGTTCCTGTGTGACCCGGGATGTTCATTCCCACAAGACTCGTCATCCCGTCAATGGTGATTGGGGAAAACCTGGGAGGACAAGCAGAAGGGTGGACTGGTCCAGACATCAGTCTGACCAGGGATAACACACAGATGCACAGACACAGACATGGGGCAAAGGGCCGAGTGAGTGTTTGCAGGAGTCTTCAGGGTGCAAAAACCAAAATGCAAAAACTAACATCTGTGGAATTTCTTCTGATGGGAATGGCTAGAAAAAGCCCTAGGTCAACTCCTAAATGCTCCCACGAGCAACTCCCAATGCTCCAGAGCAGGGGTCTATCAGGGTTCAATCACAATATATGCTCACACATTGTCCCACCCTCACTCTACCCCAACCCTGTAACAGACAGTGAGCTCTTCGGGATAAGGACTCTATTACACTCATTCTGCTGTTCTATTTATTTATTCCATGGAACAGATATGGGAATCTCAAATACATAGTGACACACAGAAAAAACTAAATAAGTATTTGTTGATTAGGCGAGTAACTGGTTGATATCAATGTTTGGGGAATTTTACTTTTTAGGAAGATTAGGGATGGCCCTAGAAGTGCTCAAGCTAACATCTTTGCAGTCCTCTGGCTGTCAAAGGCCTTTGATAGTACTGGGGATGGAGGAAAATGAGAATAAACAACAGACAAGTCTTGTTATCATTTAAATGAGTAGTTAATGTTTCATTTAGCATTTATTCAAAAAGTTGTTGCCCCAAAACTTAAGTGATAATAACAGTGATGTACCACTCCTTGATGCTATGTCGAGAATTGCTGTACATTAGAAAAGAATGAAACTTCTTTGTCTTATTACAACTACTTTTATATTAGGCTTAGAAATCTCAGTTTTTATGTAATCCTGAGAAGAAAAAAATAACCTTTCAGATTCTATTCACTGATAAAATTAATCCATGTGTGATTAGTGATGCACGCCTCAGGTGAAATAATCACAACACGAATGTCTGCAGCAGAACATATTTGTTAACATTTTGTTTCAGACTGAACTTATACAGGAGTGGATAGGAGAAGAGGAAGAAAAAATTAGGGAATAACTTGGGGAAAATGTTAGAACTTTTTTTGTTTTTTGAGACAGGGTCTTGCTGTGTAGTTCAGGCTGGCCTTGAATTCATTACATAGCTCAGGCTGGTCTCAATCTCAAGGTGATCTTTCTTGCCTTAGCCTCCCAAGTGCAGGGATTATAGGTTTGTGCCACCAGGCCTGCTGGTGTTCTTAAAACTAAGAAAATATTCTCGGGCATTTGGAAGTTCCACCAAAGAATTGTTAATAAAATGGCTGCTGAAGATATGCTAGCTTTAACAACTCAATAGACATTATTTTTGCTACTATTCACCATGTCAATCTTTCCTCTTGCTTAAAAACAAACAAAACCAAAAGCCTTAATGGTACAAATTCTTAGAAGAGCAAATACAAGTGTAATTGCTACTTGCATTATTTCTAAAGTCTGTCTTTTCAGCTGCTTCTCCTTCAACCAGGTAATTGATCTCCTTCAGTTTATACACACAGAACAGCTAAGCATTTATTAGAATACCAAGGTCAGAGCCAGCAAAGAGGTTTCAAGTAAGACTTGTAGCGCAGTTGGCAATCACTACCTGGAGCACTTAGGAAGGAAGGATTCTAGATCTAAATCTGTGTTCCACAGGAAATGAGAACGCTGATATCAACTACTCTATGTAGGGAATACTTGCTCCAGCTATGTCTTCCCTGGTCACACTTGTGTTATAAGTATCACTTTTCATAACATTTGATGCTATTTCACTAGAGTCAAAGAGTAGCAAACGGATGGGAGGGAACTAGGAAAGATATAAAATGCTTGGGAACAGGCAAGCAGTTGTAAGACATGTGGAGATAATTCACAGCTATCTTCACTGTGCTGGGGTTGAGATTCCAGAGGTTAGCACTCTGTGAAGTCTGCAGTCAAGTCATTCCCTCCACAGTGCACTTGTTTCCAAAGTCTGGGTACTTACCATGCATGGCCAAGAATTGCCTAGAGTGGGGAGTGTGACGTGGACTGTTAAAGACCACATCTCTTTCCCTTGACTGGAGGAAGGGGAATTATAGTGTGCAGCTCTACTGAGCAGGACGGTGAAGATGCTATACTGCAGGCAGTGGAGTGGAGCTTATCAAAAGCACACATGGGAATCTCGTGGGGACAGTGACGTAACAACCCAACTACTTGAGATTCAGGTTTCACTCTAAGTCTAGAATACCCTTGTGACTACATTCAAAGGGTCCCCAAACCCCTGACCCTATTTGAGCCCCCCCAACCCCTTGAAAAAGCTTTAAATGAATGAAACACCAAGTTTAAAACCCGTATACATATATAACTGAGGGAGGATTTATATTAACTGTTAAAACCTGTAACGAAAGAAACCCCTGGTTGAGGTGCACACAGATACACTTCATTTCAGGATGTGCTCTAAAAGGCACACTGAGGTGGGACAGGAGTCAGAAAGTCACCCATGCATCAATTCATGCTGTGGCCAGGGCTGGCAGTCCAAAATCTAATTTTTTCATTGAAAATTATAAGATTGTCAGCCATGATTAGCAAAATGTTCTAATTTTGATTTGCTGGAATCTGCCCTCTTAACTGAATCTTGGCAATGCTAATGCAAAACAGTTGCTCTGCAAGTTTGCAAAATCAGGCAGCAAAGACTCAGAGATTTATCCAATAGGGAAGCCTTTCAAAGGACAAGGCTATCAAAGGCTTGGTAGCTGTGGCACCTGAACCATATGGGAAGCCCACCTGCAAATAAAAGAAAAAGTGAAACACACAAATACATTTTGTGTGCCCTAAAAGAAACAAAATCAACTGAAGTCTGAAATTAAAATGAAGAATTTGACATGCTGGTGGAAGAAAAAGGAAGAATTAAAAAAAAAACAGTAAAGTTAGTGAATTAAAAAAAAAATTCTAGCCCCAGTCTGTGCCAACACGGACATCTGGCAATCTGTGGAGTTTTAATTACCTCTTTACGCCATAGGCCATATTAAGCAAATTGTCCAGCCTGCAAAGAGAAGGAGGGTCTCTGGGTTAATGCCTCACAGATGGCAAGATCGCTCAATGGAACTATTAATAAGAATGCTCCATTTTCAAAGAAGAAAAGCTCAACAACTTTCCCCACTGCTTAGGAGTCCATCCACCGTTAGTTTTCCCCTTTCCTGCCTCCAACTGCAAGTAATTCATGTTCAGGTCAACGCTAGAATTTAAAGCAAGTGTCTAATGAATCCCTTTTTCTTTCAAAGTCTGAATTAATCCCTCTCCCCCCACCTCTCAGAACATTTGTACGGATCTTATTTTATATTGTGTGTGAAACTGTCAGGGAAGGGAGGGCCTTCTTAAATTGCTCACCTTTTACTATAATTAAATTTGTGAATAAAAGGTCTCTGTTCCAGATTAACACTACGCAACCAAATGGATCTTTTCTGTTAGCTTAGCTACATTAGCTAAATCTTCTTACCACACATATTTTTGGGGGGCAGGGAGTGCTTCTGGGTTACAAAGCTAAAAAATGGCTTATTATTTACAGCCTGAAAGTACCTCTCAGCATACTGTCATTATGTTATAATCTTCCTCACGTTTAGTACCTTACTTGGGGACAAGCTATTCACACCATGGGGCAGTAGTAACCATAGTTTCCACCATCAGAAGCCTGCTGGAGAAGCTTTTTACATAAATACTGCATGTGCTCTCACACAAAATAAAAATTAGATGACTTGGACTCTTCATGAAATCATTAACCATTTCAGATTCACACGCATTGCAGGACAACTGCAGAGGCTGGTTTTCTTCTCATTGTGGCCAGATGGACTGTTACTATTCTAGATAGAAGGACCTACTATTTCCCCAAGGGAAGACTGACAAGGAGAAAAACCCTTTCATTAAAGGGAAACTGGGGTGTGGGTAGAATAAAATCATTATTTAGAATTAACTATGGGTAGGTCAAGACCATATTTTTCTCTTGCACAATCAGGCTGATTAAGGTGGCACTGCCTTGATAGGAGAAACCTGCCTCTTGGAAATGTTCCAGGAGGAAATGTTCCATTGCACCAGGAACTTCCTGGGGGTTGGGTACCTGAAGGAAACACTAACAAGGCTTGGATGAAATCTTCCTCCTTGTCTTCCCAGAGTGTGTTAAGGGAGTGGAGGTAACACTAAAGAGAGTTCTTCCTTGTTCCCTGCCCTGACCCCCTGGAACTACACAGATTTTTATTAACTGGGAAAAAAGGACAGGGCAAGCTACTCCCTCTGGCAAGGATATGTCTCCTAATCTACTCTTTGTAATAAAAGCCACTGTCTAGCTGTATGTCTAAACTGCTAGATGTGGTAACTTATCTGTGATTAACTCTTGTTGAAACTGAACCTTCTTTTTTGGTTAAATACAGAAATTCTGTTTCTAACAAAGAATCCCAAGTTTAGCCAGTCAGTGATAAGCTGGAAGGTGTCTTTGAAGAGCATCTGCTCCAATAATCTCATTTTATAGAAGAGGGCACTGAGGTTCCGGGGAAGTTTTGCACAGCGATTCCTGTGGGCAGAGGCTGTGAGCTTCTCTGGCCCCTTGCACAGCTCTGTACTTGCGGGCAGGCCTACCTGAACCTCTGAGCCTGGTGGTGGAGTGGGCCAGGGTAGCGCCGGTTGGGGGACTGGTACAGCTGGGAAAGCAGGGCCTGGCTGGACTTCTGGCTGGGGTTGTTGGCAAACTTCACAGTAATCGGTTCTGTAGCACCGCTGGGCTTCTGGCCATTCAGTCCTTTGATGGCTTCTTCTGCCTCGATCCTCTTATCAAAGCGGATGAATCCCACCCCTCTAGATACTCCTGGGAAAGAGAAAGAGCCTTTGTAAAAGGTGAACAAAGCAAACTGGTAAATATCTCTGCAAAGACATGAGTGGGCCTCCACAGACATTCTATGGGGACTTAACCCACCTTTTGCACCAGGGCTGAGCCTGGATCCCTGAATCTTTCTTACAACCAAAACACACCTGCCTGCACTTCCTCCAGCATGGCTCTGGAGAGAAGCCTCCTGCTGCAGCACAGAGATAGCACTTGCATCTGTCTGCTCCAGCACTCCACCACTTCCCTGCTCAGTCTTATCTCCCTTGAGTTACAATACAACTAAACATCCATCATCCAATTTCTAGTTTTCCCATGTATCCTCCACACCTAGTAACTAATTCACCTATTTGTAAAGCAAACTCTGACCACATTGCACCTTTTAAAAATATCTTCTATATCTCTTTAGTACCTTTTGAATTTTGTACCTTGGCTACGGTACTTATTTTTCACTGCCCTAAATGGAATAAGAAACAAATAGACCCCACAAAACACCATTCTTTGGTTCTCTGCTGCATATAAAGTCCAAATATTTTGGCCTGGCATTCAATGTCCTTGGCAAACCCCTACTGAGCTTTATACCAGCCACCCTAAACTGCCGACACTCCTTGAACAGGCTGTGTCCTCTGTCGCCTCCATGCCCTGGGAAATGCTGTCCTCCCATCTGGAATACTCTATATGTCTCCTTTTTGCCAGGTAACTTCAAGGCACCCTCCAAACCCCTGTTCAAACACTCTGCAATGGAGTCTTCCCAACAATCACTGCCAGGCATAGTATGCCTTCTCAGGATCTCTCACAGGCACTGGACATCCTTTAGCAGGATCTCTCACAGTTAAGTCCCTTAAGTGCAGGAACTGACCTCCACCCTTGGTCCCCAGTGTTCCTGTGTAGAACCAACTTCAATGAGAGTTGGTTGCATGAATCAAATGATAGACATGTGCTAAATGGCTCTCAGGGAAGTAATTCTAAATTGGAATCAAATTGGGGGCAGGCAAAAACACCCTGATGTTAAAAATGTAACCCAAGGTATTTTACATTTCTGAGAGGTGGTGGCTGGATTTCTTTATTATGGACAAAGAATCCCAGGACCAGAGTCTGGGTTCATACTCCTGCACTGCTACTGACTAGTTAGTGGGAAGATGGATCTCTTACTTTGAATCTGTTTCTTAATGTGTGAAATGCTAGGTTTGAAGTTCTTTCTACCTTTATAATGCCAGCAATTGGAATTAGAACTATACATACTAGTTTTCACATATAAAAGTAACACTACTGGTTGAGGGTTGAAAGAAACTTTGAAGGTCATACAGTCACACTCCTAGCCTAAAACCCAAATTCTTTAATGACTTGGCCAAGCACCTTTGCAGCTGCTGGAATAATTCCTCTGGTAGAGAATGCTGGTCACCCAAGATAGCCCATTTTAGTATATGTGCTGCCGAAGCAAGCACAAGATAGCCCATTTTAAATTGGAATAGTTGATGAATAAGAAGTGTTTCTCCCAAGTCAGAAATCGGCCTGCTTAGGACCGATACCCTTGACTTTAAGCAATCACTAGCCTGCCTCCTATGAGTAACAAAGCACTGATATACAAGGAAAGTAATTACAAACACTTAACCTGTGACTTGATCAACCAGGATTCGTGAGGTGATGATCCGACCATATTGTGAGAAAAGCTGCTCGAGTTCCTTCTGGGTCATGGTTTTGGGAAGGCCGCTAACGTAGAGGTTAGCATCCCTGATTGAGGCTGAGCTTGGACGGGCATAGGAGACCTAGGAAAAGGCAAGAGGAGTTACATACATGGAAGGCACCCATCCAGTGGGCAGAGACTGAGGCAACAATCAAGATGACAGCCTCTTGTCTGTCCTTACAATCAGGGCATCAATTTAAATCCTCAGTATTCAGAGTTGGAGCTACTTCTGTAATAGTAAAGAGAACCAGGAGAACAGCAATAGAGTAATAAAAGGAGAGTTGAAGATAACTTAAAACAGATGCACAGATAAGGGTCTCCAAGTGCAGAACAAAATAGTTACTGTATGCCAGCTGCTAAATGCAGAACTACCCACGCATGAAGTTTTGAAGATTTACCTCCTGGATGTGGGTGTATAGATGATTTACTGTATCCAACACATAATAATCTTTGAGTAAACCAGAAAAAACCCCCATGAAATTCTGCTCTGCACATTTCTCTCCTTCTACCCACATTCCCTTCTTGAAAACATAAAAGCGATCAGGTTCTCTGCAAGATTTTTTAATGTTCCATCCTTTGTGCTGCTCCAATCTTTTCCCACAGGTCTGCTCTCACTGAATGACAAAGTGTTGGTAAAACGGGGTTGAATGAACATCTGCTTGTGAAACTAGATATGTGACCTTGTTGTCACATCTGCAAGGACCAGTCGCCTCTAACTCTGAGGCAGGGCAAATAAAACCACAACAAATAAAATGGGGCAGAGTGGACAGGAGGGAGGGGAAGACAAGGAGAGAGAAGATGCTGCACTGACGGTTATAATAAGTTCGACTTTGTAAATTTGTCCTCCCAGATCTCTCTACAGTTTTTTTCCCCAAAAAGCTAACACAGAAGTGTAAACAGATCTGAAATTCCATCTGCAAGAAGCCAAATCTGTAGCAGTACACATAAGCAAAGCAAACCCCAGCAGTCATTAATTTTAGACTTTCATTTACTTATTTATTTATTTTTTAAGAAAACAACATCAGACATTTGAAATATAATTTACAGCTAGTCTAACAAAAGCACTTTCCTGCTAAAGCTATTTCTGGGGCGGTTATGGCTCAGAATAGATGATGAAAACAGTCTTTTCAGAATACATCTGACAATGTTGGACAGGAAGGGACCTATATGCCTTAGCATTTTTCAGTTGGGAGTTTTATTTATTCTACATAACCAATTCACAAGACCTGCTAAGACTGTGAATAAACAGGGGATAGGTATGTATAGGTGTGTGCATGCATATACAAAAGCACGTGTGCAAAAGGAATTGCACATGCTAAATTGGTCCTTCACCATTTAGAGGAGAAAATGGATGTACCAAAGAAGATGAAGGATGAGTAGACCTCCTCACCCACCACACACTCTTCCTTTCTATGACAGAGACAGCAGGTCCCTTTATGAGTTCTACACCTAAAAATAGATGTTGACTCAACAAAAAATGATGTGAGTGACTAATCTGCCTCCCTCTCTGGCCTCTTCCTGCTGATGGATCGAGGCAGCTGCCTACAGTGTCTACATCTTCTAGAAACTCATGGGCAGTCAGGAAGGTCTTTGTCGGCTCAGCTCACTCTCCCAGAGCATGGCTGAGATGCAGAGGGGCCTCTGTGTGCATGTGGGGACTCAAGGGCTGAAGAGTCAAGAACCCCATGGGACTGCCTGGACAGGGCTTCACTCCACACTATTTCCCGACACCTGTCTTCTATGGGACAAAGTCTCTTAGGTTATAACCTAGCAGAATTATTTTTTAGGCAAGGGGAAGGAATGGGAGGGAAATGGACATATCATAGTGATGGGTCCACAGTAATGAAGGTCACCCTTGCCTCACACTGCCAGCTGCTGACAAATTATCAAGATGACATTTGTGCTTTTCCAAAACGCAATCTCCCACCTATATGCCTTTGCTCATAGGGAAAATTTTGGCACCTACTTCCTTAGGTCCAAATCTTACCTTTTTTAAGGACTCAGCTTAAATGCCACCTTCTCTTGACAGTTTTCTCTATCTGACCTTGCCTCCTTCTAAAATTCTCCCCAGCAGGGCACTCAATAAACCAAGGTGTTTAACTTGTTCTGACCTTAACTCATCAATTTTCCATCTAGTCTGATGATCTCCTTACGGTCATGGGTTGTGTGTATGTGCATCTTCAACTCTGTGGCTCTAGTTTCCAGCACAGAGCCTGACACCTGCTGGGTGCTCAGCACTTCCTGAAAAAAAAATGAATGAGCACCCACAGGCGTTGCTGCCCCTAATGGCCTTTTAGAGTTAACTATAGCTTGGCTCCTTTGCTAAGGCAGATCACTAAGAGTCAAGCATGTAGGATCATAGCTGTGTTTCCACACTAGGCTAAGAGCAAAGTGATAGCTTACTCACTTCTCAGTATCTAGAGTTGGAGAGACTGAAAGTAGGAACAGACACCATTTTTTTCTAGCAAATATTTCCTGATGATCTACTATGTCCTCAGACACAGTGAGAACAAGGCATAGTCTTTTTATTTTAAATGGAACTTAAAGTCCAATGGGTGCAACAGGCAACACATGGGAGGTACACATTAAAATGGGTTGAGAGGAAGACTGGTTGAGTGAACATACAGACCAATTATCACAAAGCCACAAGTATGTGTTACACCAGGGCTATGAATGAGTATGACTCAAACACAGAAGAGGGCTAAATCAAGAGTTAAAAGGGTCAGGAAGAAGACAGAGCTGAAATGAAACTGGTGGTAGTGGGGTTGGAGAAGGTGGCTTGATAACAGCTTTCCTCCGTTGTGAGGGCAAATGAGGTAATGAGGATCAAAGATTGAGGAAAGTGCCTGGCACTGTGCATTTTTTAGTATCTACAATGGATACTAATGACCTTGATTTTCATGAATTTTGGAAAGTCAGAACTGAGATAGAGAGGTGCAGGTTGACTTTGCTAGGGAGGAGCTAGCACTAGAAAGTCAATGATACAATCAAAATAATTTCTCCAAAAGATGATCCTAAGAAAGGCAGGATCTCAGCCAGAGAGAATCATTACAACAGATCCCCAGAATGAGACCCCAGCCAGAGGGAAGTGAACAGCCCTTGGGGACAAATCCCCAAGGTGAACAGTATCTCAATCATTCTATGCTAAGCCTAATTCCTGTTTTCTTCTCTATTTGAAGCCAGAAATCATTGTTCTTTAGTCCCCTATTCAGGGAAGCTATAAGGGTAGGAGTGGGAAAAAATGACAGCAAACTCCCCATGTTCAACATCAAAATGATCATCCTAATTTCAAATTATCTAAAATTTTTAAGTTTCCTCATATAGTCATTAAATTCCAGCTGAATGACTATAAGTGTCGGGGACTTCGTTAAGCTGAAACATTTCTAAAAACTGCTGACTTTCAACTCCCGCTGAGGATCCAGCAGTGCTGGCATGGTAGTCCTCTGCGACAGAAGCCTATAGCCTGGGGCTCCCAACCTACAGCCAGGCTCTGGAGAGTTTTCCTTGCCTTGGACCATTAAGCTCCTGCTCTTTTCATTCACCCAGAGCCTCTGAAGACAAGACTGGCATTTCTAGGCCAATCTTGAGATCAGAAAGTGCTGTAAGTGAAGAGGCCACTCCTCTTTTGGACTGAGGGTGGCCCAAAGGCAAGTGGCTGGCAATGGCTGGCTTTATAGATAAACTTGACAGAAGGTTTTCAGCACTTCCAAACTCCCCAGCCTCTCCCTATCCCTGTGGGAATCCCTCCGCTCTAAAGAAACAACAGTATGGAAGCAAGTTTATGATCCCCAGCTGTGGGTAAGGTCCAGTAAACATAAGCTGGGTGACCACGGGCAAGTGAGTTGCTCTTTTTAAAAAATTTTTTCCCATTAAGTTTATTGGTACATTTAAGGCAAACAATACATAAGTTGATCTTGATAAGCCTCAAATTTTTTTTAAAATTGGTAAAGGAGGGATACTCCTTTGATGGGTTATTGTAGAGAATTGAGATATACTTGATGTGTCTAGCACTTATGCAGAAATTGGTAGACACTTAATAAATATCACTGTGTGATGAGTCATACAGGCTTTTGTAGGCCAGCTTGGGCATCTACCCTCCACTGGGAAAAAGTTTTAGCAAATAAGCAAACCTTTAGTGAAAGTCTTTAAGAGGTACTGTCCTTCTTTGCCACCCTAGTGGAGTCTGAGCCATCTTTTAGCACTTAAAAACCATGAATTTTCTCTAAAATATTTCCACAGATCTCAATGCTTCACATCCACAAAGCACATCTCCAAAGTGACCTCTCAACATTGCACTCTGTGATTCTCAAAAGGTAGGTAAGGCAGGACACTGCTACTCAGCAGTAGGAAAGCAGGTGCATGCCTAGGGGCTATCTCTTCTCATATGGCACCCACAACTCCCTTCACCTGTTCACAGCCAGAGCTTGACTTGAACAGAGTGGGAGACACAGCATGGACTAGGGAAATATGTGTAACGAATCATCCAGAAACACTTCTTGCCCCATAATATTCAGAAAGGAAAGGACCTGGAAAACATGATAAAGAGATGATCCTGGGATAGCAGGAGGATACAAGAGGAAAAGCTATCCTTCTCAGTCCTGGAAAGATGCTCCTTTAGGAAACCACTGGTATTAGCTGAGAGTTCATTTACTTTCCATTCCTGAACAACTACCGTGTGGCAGGTGCTGCGATGGGTAGTGGAAGTGTTCATGGCAACAGGAGACACGGGAAGTAGAAGGGATACTGGTGATCACACAGTACTATCTCTAAAATCTGCTTGGTGATTGAAGTGCCTCAAAAGGTCAGGGTAGGATTCAAGACAGTTGGCTATCTACCTTACACATTTCCAAGGACAGGAAGCTCACTACTTCCTGAGGCATCCTACATCACTGATTGTTGAAAAGTTTTTCCTTCTGCACTCGAGGAGCATCCTTCCTGTCCTTAGCATCATATATCTTGTGGGTTTCATTGACAGGTGCCGCTTGGAATACCAGGTAACTGTATTTTGAAGCAGATCACTCCAAAGAAGTTCTTGTTTATGCTACTTCAATTGAAATGGAGATCTTGCTCTTAAACAGAAAA